ATACGGTTCCAGTTTTGGCCAGTTTCGATTCCAACCGATTCTGAATCGATGGTTCTGGTTCCAAAAATTGAAATTTGAGTACCCCTATATCATATGGTATTTATATCTTTCTTTTCATTTATTATAGTTTTTGTTTCAGGTAGAGTTTCTTATAAAAGAAAAAGAAATACTCTCTTCATTCATTCATAAATATTTGTTGTATCTTAAACGATAATAAAATGTTCATTAATTTAACTAAATTATCCTTTAAAAAAAATATAGAGAATTAAAGATAATCGTTACATTTACTATAAATATGAGTAAAATTGAAAAAACTTTATTAGTTACTATTAAATATTCTCAAAACTATTTCTTTTTATGGATAAGTAGTTAATTGATATAATTATGAGGAGATCTAAGCCAATCAATACTTTCGAATTTTATTTTAAGTTAGATCTTAATTTAAGGAGTTCTCACATGAAGAGATTTATGACTTACTTTAATTAAATTAAACAAAATTTTAAAAAAATGTGCATGTATGGGTGTTTATTCGTGGAAATTGAATATTTCTAATAATGTAAATTTTCATGAATATAATTCTAGCAATATTAAATTATTATATTTCGCTGGCAATAAAAAATTTTCAAGAAAGAATATATATATTCTGCAAGAATTAATTACATGTGATGTGATGCACGTTTCTTCAATTATATATCAAATTAAAAATTATATTAGGCTATTCCTATGATGGCAATATTTATATATAAAGACTTTTTTTTTTGAAAGGATATATAAAGACTTTAAGAAATGTTGAACATCAAGATCTGGAATTTAATATATATAATATATATATATATATATATATATATATACATATATATATATATTATATATATATAAATATATATATGTATATTATCTATTCAGTTATTTAATTATTTTTAGAAAGTCAAGTCTACATTTATATGTATAAATTAATATTTTCACATTAAGCGATAAGCATATGCCAATAATTATATGTTCTAATTATGTCAATTCGAATACTTTTTACTTTTCATAAGAATTAAAAAAAATGTTGAACAAGTGATTTTTTTTACTCATTAAAAGAATAGATAATTTTTTTCAACGATTATTTTTTTACTTTTGTTAAATATGAGCATAATCTCCTTTTATGTTGAAATCAACATGTCTCTCTATAATTTTTTTTTATTTTTTTTTATTTTTTTACAAATCGAGCCTCTCACCTTAATAAGAAGAATAGAAAATTTTTTCTTAAGTATATAATAATTATATTATTATTCTATGCATAATTGGATTGTTCTTCCTTACTAATAAAAACTTTTTTTGTGCTTACTTATATATACCAAAATAAAATCAGCACAACATTATTGAATGTTTTTCATTAAATGGTGATCAAATTTAGCATAATAATTATACTTAAGTTCGGATTAACAAATAAAAAGAAATCATATTTTTGGCAATTTTGATATATTATTAATTATATTTAATATTTAAAATTAATACATGAATTCAATCCCATAAATGCTCATCTTCTCATTTTCTCTCCTTTTCTTTTCTTTTCTTTTCTTTTCTCCCCCCTCTCTTTCCTCTTCTTTTTCTATCTTTCCTCCCCATCTTCTAATTCTTCTTCTTCCTCTCATCCCTGTCTCTTTATTTTCATTATTTTTTCTCTTTATTTTTCTCTTTATGTAATATATTTAAATTTTACCTCGCAATACTGAATATCCATGTGTAAACGGATTCTAAATAGAATTGATTCAACAAACTTATCAAATTTACCCAGTTTACTAATTAGTATTTCAACTTAATTCAAGTAAAAATTTCATCTATTTTCAAGAAATCTTTCTTTTGGCCAGTAAAGAATTTTTCTCTTATAAGTAAGTTTTATTAATTCGAAAAAGATGAATACATCATAAATTCGCAGGAAAACATGGCTTCTTCGATATGCAATTAGAAACATGGCTTTCTGTACTTGTGTCACGACGACATTAAATTCCTCATTCCAATTTCCAAATCTCAAATGAAAATTTCCCCGTAAAATACCCATCAAATCATAAACGCCCATCAAGAAGAACAAACAAGGCCAAACCCCAATATATTAACACCCCATATCTCCCTGGACGTGGGAGATAGTTTGATAACTGGCGGCCAAAAGGGGCAACCCTATCAAAGATTACGGTCCTTCTTCTCGGCAGTTTTGGAACCAATGGACGAACCGTTGATCCATTCTGATGCTTTATGTTGTCATTTTTTGAACTACCTTCTTCAGATTTTCTTTCCTGATCATTTCTCTTTTGTGGGACGTTCTCTGGTTTGGGATCTCGGATAGTCCTGCTTGGAGGGTCTTGGCTATTTTCCCCTTGTGAAACAAAATCTGGTTGTTGTAGGACATCTATCTTCTGTTGGTTTATGCACTGTGGGTGCCAACATTTTGGGTTAGCACAAACCACCTGGGAAGTATGAACCCAATAAGGGTTCATCAAGCAAAGGTTCCCACATATAGGGTTCACCATGTAAGGGTTTCCCCAAATATAAGGGTTTAAACCATAAGGGTTCCAGGACTGAGGTCCTACGCTGTAACCCATTTGCTGGCTCGTGTACTGTGAATTTTCAGCTTGTGTACCGCCACCAGATGCATTCCCCACCTGGGAATTTTCTCCTCCATGGGCATTTCTTGTTTGTGCATCGCCTCCCCCTGGGATATTCATCTGCGATGGATCACTTGAACTTGATCCTTGGGTAATGTCATCCCCTTGAACCATTTTTGTCACTTAATGACCTAAAAATGGCTAGTTTCTTTTGTTCAACTCTTTTTTGCTGGACCTAATAACAAGAGAATGAGCATTCCTTATATAGTGCAGATTGCAATTTGGAATTCGTATTAAAAAACACTTCTAGCTCAGGTGCATTTAAATATTTTTAGTAGACAGCTGAAATGTGACCAATAGCTCAGGTGCATTTAAATATTTTTAGTACATACAAATAAGAATTAACGAAGACTTTGGCAGGTGATGACAAGTTGCCCATTAACGTTATATTATACATTTTAAATATTTAAGATGATCGTTATTGACTAAGGATTTAAAAAATGGAGGGGGTGGGAGAATTCAGACTTTCACATGCATTGGAGATTATAATGTGTCTAAAGAATCTGAAACCAAGTCATTCAATAGCCAGTTTTTTTTTTTTTTTTTTTTTTTTTTTTTTTTTTTTTTTTTTTTTTTTAAACCAAGAAGTTTTTTTTTTTTTTTTTTTTTTTTTTTTTTTAACCAGGAGTTTTTTTATCCTCAAGTAAAATGTGTTTCGCGTAGATCGAATTTACGTTCTCATCCTTATAGAAATTGTGGTCACTAATCATCTCAACTAATACTTTATTAGTTATCTATCCTTAATTATTGGTAACAGGTGCATGAACCATTTCATATTTATAGGCTACTGGAAATGACTATTTTTATGGCTCGAACCACCTCATAAATGGGATAGTCTAATAAGTGGAATGACTATTTCAGCAGACACACAACAGAGACTATAATTATAACGAAAAAATAAATTCATAACCGCAATTGCGGAAATTACAAAAATTGTCAAGATTAAGACTTCTTTTTATCATTTAGTCTAATAATTATACCCTCAACTCTCACATCAAATCCCCCACACACCTGCAATTTATGCATTTATAAGAATTATACCCACCATGTGTTTTTTTTTTTCTTTTCTTTTGATAAGAACATGCGTTACGCGCAAACACGTCATGCAAGAAACCCATTTGAAAGTGACCAAAAAATGGCTTAGTAAGACTGAATTCAATTGCTTCAACTAATATCACTCTTCACTGCCCAATTCTACAATTGTTACAAAACTTATACTTCCTCCGATTCTAAATACCTAGCGTATTTGAGAACACAGTACTTTTCTATGTGTGATAAGTATTTAGGAACGGAGAATATTGTATTTTTAAATACTTATCATATTTATGAATTTCATAAATAATAAATTATTTCTTCCGTTTTTACCCTTTATACGATCAACATTGATTGTTTCAATTTTCCAATAATTGATAGTAACTTAAACAAATTAAAAATAATATAGTCCATTCACTTAATAATTTATTGTAAAATATATAAATTGAATAATTTTTTTTAAAAAATGAGTCTTTTGGAAACGGAAGGAGTATAGACAACAGAACAGGAGTATATTGGCCGCAAGTTGACAAACAAAAAAGAAAAAAAAAAATGCATTTGTCAAATTATTATTATTATTATTAATTAAACCGAGGTTGTCTGCTTTAGGATTCTCCCAAGCCAAGTTGGAGTCATAAGATAAGGACATCAAGAATTTCTGACTTCAATTCTGTTGGAATACGAGCTACCTATTAAATCAATACTCTCGAATCATATAGAATGTAAAGGGTTGAAAAGCAAAATGACCTTGAGAAAGCTTCTATTGCCAGTTTATGTACCAACTTCTTTAATGCAAGCAAAATTAATGATTGAAAAGCAATGAAAAATTTATAAAGGTAGAAAAGGCATATTTATATATATGGCCTTTCAACTTCTTTTAGTTAGACAAAACTTATAAAATAAAATTAAAACAAACCTTGTTCATAAGCACCTCCAGGAGCATTGATGGTCTCTAAAATTGCACCTATTAAACCCAAGATGCAAAATTATTACCGCAAATTACAACTTTAGGAGGCATACGATGGGTCACTCAAAAAATTTCGTGGTGCTACTACATGGAAAAAAATCCTAAAAATCTAGACAACTTTATGCATAAGTCTAATATTTTGAAGAGTGAAAAATAAGATATATATATCAAATAGCAAATAAGTGCGGTTTATTTGACAGTAATTTCACAAAACGCATGGTACATCATCCACAAATTTAAAATTAAAATTCGACCTGCTCTTAATTTATTTTCTTACGTATGTTATATGTATACTCTTAATTATTTAGAAGTATAGTATACATAAAAATCATAACACCATTCTTCTCTCTAATTTAGCCACTAATTAACTGCGACAAAGTCTTCAGATTCTTAGCAGCACCAGAATCAGGACCATCAGCTTTGATCAAAACTTGTTTTAGTTCATCACAGGCCTGTCTCATTTTCTTCTTTTTTTCCTGCTCAAAAACTATTTCCAAACACTTAACCATTCTACTTTTAGTGATAACTCTATCTTCAACTCTCACTCCAATCCCCCACACCTCCTCTGCAATTTTTGCATTTATATGATTATCTGCCCAAACTGACCTAAAAATCATTGGCACTCCACTCAATATACTCTCCTGCAATGAATGATACCCTCCATGGGTTACAAACACACCAACTGAACCATGTTGCAGAATCTTTCTCTGTGGTGCCCAAGAAACCACCATTCACCTGAACATGTATGCAGAATATTTTCCTCTGTGGCTGCCCAAAGAAACCACCATTCTTTCTTTTTTGTTCTTTCAAGAAACCCTTCTGGAAAGATTTTCTTTGCATTTGTCTTTAGAAGAACCCAGAGAAATGGCCTACCACTAAATTCAATTGCTTCAGCTAATGCCATTTACTCTCACTGCCCAATCTCCTACAACGTTCTCCAAAAGATATATAGACAACAGAAACCAACTTTTTTTGTCTAATCGAGCGCATGAAAAATAAACAATCTGCAAGAAGTAGAACTACCAATCATTCTCCTGTGTATCGATAAAGTTGAGTCACACCATCGTACGAGTAAGTCTTCTTAACTTTTGATTTAGATATTTTGTGAGAGGAATTGGGTTTAGTTCTTCAAGGTATTCAAAAAAAGAGCTTTTGCTTGCCGGTAGTTTTTTGTCCATACGAATATAAATATGGCAACAAGTTTCATTTGGGCTTTGCTTAACATGTAATTTCAAATGGGGGTAATCTTTAAAGGGTAGAGAAGGATAAATCCAGGATAACATCTCAAATGATCAATTTTTCGCTGTTTAGGCATAGCGAAAAGCTTTTGAATTTTATCCAATTTCAAAATAGCAACAAGAATCATTTTGGATGAGGTACCGTAAAGGATATCCATGGAACATTTTCATAATATCGCCCGCCCCTCCTAATACATCTTCCGCCATTTTCCAAGCGAGAACACAGATAACAGCATCCGTTTCATTATCAAGTAACTTCCCTCCGGCCTACCGGTTGTTCTCCCTCGTGTCCGGCCAGCACTCTTCAATACGGCGGTTCGAAGTTGTACGGTAACTGTTCGGTAACTGTTCGAGGAAATGCCTGACTTCCGCGGCATGATCTATTGTTAAGTGATTAACTCCTTCCGGAATGCCATCGTCTACGTCGTAGGACATGAGGTTGGCTGGTAATGGAGAGTTCTTTTGAGATGACTTGATAATGGAGTTTGTTTTCGGTAAGCTGAAGAAAGAAAACTGAGTTTGAGGAGCTTCTGTGGCTAATTTACGAACTAAGTTGAAGAAACCTAATGGATGGCTACTAAATGGCCATGTGCACACAGCTACATGACTTGTTGCTATTTGTGGTGATGAGCTTTGGGTTGAAGAGAGATTAGGGAAATAAGAAAAGAGAGAATTAGGGAAATAAGAAAGAAAAGATTATATATATACTAATATAATATATATTATATAATATGATATATATAATCTTTCTTTCTATAATGGGCCCTTGCCAACTGAGATGGTTTCATGAAATGATCAGAGCATCGAGGGACACAATCTAGCCATCAAGTTAATATGGAGCTAAAGCATTCTTGAACAGGTGGATTGGACAGTTTTAGAAAGCAAGTTCTGGTAAGATTTGGCTTTCTCCGCTCATATGATCAATATTATTATGAGCAAATCTTGCTTCTACCCGGCTTTCTTGTGTTGCATTAATGGAGTTCCTTACGGATTCTTTCAAACGAACTAAGAGGAAGTTAAACAGGGAGATCCATTGTTCCACCATATCTGTTCATTTTAGCTTCTGAAGCTTTGACTCGGCGGTCTCATCATTTAATGGCTGCGGACACAATTTCACCTTATAAAACTGGCGAAGACATTGCACCTATAAGTTTCTCATCCTTTCTTTTGCAGATGACTTTGTTGATTTTTCTTAAAGGGGATGCCAGAAGCATTCTCAAATCTGCAAAGATAATTTTTGAATTTCATATAGCAGCTTCATGGGCAAACTTGATAAATTTCGACACAAAAGCTCTTTCTATTGTTCTAAAGAAATGTCCTTCTCAGGATAAGGTTTTCGTATTCAAGATGCTTTGAGCATTAAAAGGAGACCCTTCCCTTTTTTAACATATCTTGTGCACCAATCTATCAAGGTATTAAATAAGAGCTCAGTATTGCAGTGGCCTTTTGCAAGAAAGTCGAATTTCAAAGCTTACCAGGTTTTCGAATCAAAGCTTACAGGTTGGATAAAAAAGATCCTCTCTCCGGGTGGCCGTTTATTATTACTCAAGCATGTTCTAAATTCCATTCCTTTGCACATAATGGGGGCCATGGCGTTGCCCAAAAAAATATTAAGCTTATTGGATCGTAAAATGGCTACTTTTTTCTGGGGTAGTGATGTGGATCATTCGAAATATCACTGGGTCAATTATCATGATATGTGTTTCCCAACTAAGGAAGGAGGACTGGGGTTAAGATCTCTTCGCTCTTTACAGAAAGCCTATTCGCTCAAAATTTGGTGGATTTATATGCAGAGGAATTCTTTGTGGGCTAACTATATGCTCCAAAAATATCATAGGCAGGGAGATATGCGCTATCAACTTATCGACTCTTGCACTTGGAAATGGATTTGTCAAGTTCACTCTCTTGCTTGCTCACTTGTTGATTTTGCAGATAATAATATGGTGTGGCGAGGAGAAAAGACTGGCCAATTTACTCTTGCTTCAGCCTACAATTGTGTTAGAGAGAGCAAAGCTTCTTGCCTTTCAAGCAATGCTATTTGGGACTCATCTTTCCTGCTTAAGCTTTCCATTTTTACATGGAAACTCCTCAGGGGAGCTTTACCTTTGCCGCGATGTCTCCAATTATTTGGGATTTATGGTCCATCTCGGTGCCCATTTTGTTTCAAGTCGGAGACAACTGCTGACCACCTTTTTTATTTCTGCCCCATCATTGCTAAACTTTGGAATTACTTCAGCTCTTTTTTCCTAGATAATCTTGAGTTACAAAATTCTCTGCGGCAAGCGTTGATTTTTTGGTGCTTTGTGACAGACCCGATTCGGCTATGGGTAAGCTTAGGCGCTTGGTACCACAGGTAATTGTATGGACTTTGGAAAATGTATTGTAAGTGTACTTAGGGTAATGAAGCTTGCTTTCCAGACCTCCAAAGCATACTTGGGGGTAATGAAGCTTGCTTTCCAAGACCTCCTTTTACAAGATATTTCAGTAAGGTTTGCTATTAAACTGGAAGCATTGTCAATTCCTGAATCAAGAATTTTGCAGCAACCTGGCCGCAAAAATGATTACCTAACTTCATTTCGGCTTCTTTTTTTTGGCAAACAAAAAATTAAAACAATGATTTTATTACTTGGATTCGGCTAGGCAAAGATTGCTATAAAATGAATATTGATTGCAACTTTTCAACCAAAATTATCAGCATCCGGGGGTGCTGATTCCTCCGAACACCATGGTAAATTTTTGTTGGCTGCCGCTTGTTTCCCCGACCGATTGATGCCAGGACAGCTTATGATGCCAAGCTTAAAGCTTTGATTTGGGGGCTTTCTTGGAGTATTGATAAAGGTTTTTATCCCATCCAGGTGGAAATGGATTGTCTGGAACTAGTTACACATGTTAATCGGACACAGTGGATTAGAGCAGGTCTTTCGGTCTTGCAGCGTGTTGCTGATTTGTTGCATCTTCACTCTTCTTCCATTCATCACATATGTCGTGAAGGAAATCAAGCTGCACATCTTTTGGCTACTCATCATAGACTTCACTATACTTCTCTTTCTTTTACCTCTTTTAATTCTTTGCCTCCTTTGATTAAAGGAATTGTACTTTTAGAGGCTATAGGACTCAATATTTGAGATATAAATAAAATAATTTGAGATATAAAATAAAAAATATAAAAATATCTTTTGCATAAAAAAAAATATTTTATTGAAAACAATATATATATATATATATAATATATATATATATATATATATATATAATATATATATATATATTTTTTTTTTTTTTTTTTCTTTCCTTTTGGTTTCTGCTCATTCAGTTTTTTTTTCTTTCCTTTTGGTTTCGCTCTTAGTTTTTGGTCTTGTTTGAAATGGTATTGATTGAATTTTATACAGGGATCTATATTCTGTAGTAGCTAACTTTCTCAACCTCCATTCGTTAGGTACTAAACTCTATTATGGATTAGCTGAGCAACCTCCATAACATACCCAACTAATAAGATTAAACTAAAAACACGTTTATTTATGCAGGTGCATATTAAGGTGTTAAATATTAGCAATCGTAATCGTAATCGATGATTAGTTCGATGCAAAAGATTCGGTTTCATGGATGAATGCCACTGCTCCTTAATGGGGTTGACCTGATTTGAGCATAATTTAGTCTTAACTTAATTGGCTAGAGATATCTATGATTATACTAAAAAAAAAAAGTAAGCAATTGAATGAGAAAGATAATATTACTAGAGAAAGCTTGATCTTCTAAGCAATATTCTAGTGTTTAAAACGGTCACCCCCATAATTGGCTCTTGTAGAACCCGAATCCAGATTAGTCAGCTTGCCGGATACCAAGTGGTTTACAAAAAAAAATAATAATAATAAAATAAAAAAAGAAAGCTTGATTTTAGCTCATCCTAGAATATGCTTGTAATTCATTAAGCTTTGCTCCCCATTTTAAAAGTTAAAAAAAAAAAAGAGAAGGAAAGAAAGCTTGCTTAATATAGAAAATTCATATTTTATGTTAATTTCTAAGAAACAACTAATATAGAGAATAATAAATTAATATATATATATAATATATATATATATATATATATATAATATATATATATAGTAAAATAGGAAGAAATTATTTTATTAAATATTAATAATTTACTCTGCATGGGCCTGCTTAACTTTAATCGATTACAACAGGAGAATGATGGTAGTCTAAAATAGGAAGAATTATTTTATATAAATATTAAAATTTACTCTGCATGGGCTGCTTAACTTTATCGATTACACAGGAGAATGATGGTAGTACTGCTACTTCAGCAGGTTGCTGTTTATTTTTATGGCTTGATGGTGAAGAAGTTGGTTCTGTCGTGTATATATCTTTTGGAACAGTTTTAGAATTGGGTAGTGAAGAGTTAATGGCATTAGCTGAAGCAATTGAATTTAGTGGTAAGCATTTCTTTGGTCAATTAAAGACAAATATAAAGAAAATCTTCCAAAAGGGTTTCT